GTAAATCTTGAAAAGTCTCACCGAAGGCACCATAACCTCTAGACCAGCTGAGCTTATAAAGGTGAAGGATTCCTCTCATGTTACAATGGCAGCAACCCCAAACACTTCATGAAACTGAGAGCTCTATGTAGTTTTCATCTGATTGCCTTCATTTTCAATTTAACTCACCTCAGAAAAAGTAAGTTAGATCATGTTTGTTGAGGAGGAGCCTGTGTGTTGGGAAATGTGAGGGGGAGGGTTTATCTGCTTCTTGAAAAGTTGCACTTAATGCAAAAGCACCTGGTGTGGGTCCATTAAATGAAATTGGAGAGCTGTAAATGTGTTTATGTGCAGCTTTTCAACAGCAGGTTTTTGCTTTAGGGAGTACACATTCAAATGGCAGGCAGACTGAATACTAACATTATTGTTTCACTCACTCACTCGTGACATACTGAGCTAGAGAGCCCCGTAGCATCCCATCATCAGTGAGTGGCACATTTGACAGGTCTATTTTTGAAAATCATTTGACAACATTTGCTAATCTGGGCGAGGTAATGTGGGTTACATCTGCTCCTGTGAACTGGGCTGAAAGTGAGTCTTTTAATAAATACTGGAAATTAAGTACATGATGAAGGACTAATATATGTGATTTTTACATTGAACACATTTTATCTTCAGATAATGAGAATATTTTTTGATTTAGCTTAAAGGATAAGTCTAGTGATTTTCTATATTTTTCTTCTTGTCAACAGATCCCATGAAAACACCAGAAGCCAACAGTAAATTGATCCTTTTAACAGGTATTGTCTGTGTAGCTGAATTCTGATAAATCTAATTTTGCCTTGTTTTAACCTGATATATTTGCACCTAATACTTTTGTATGCTAACCACGTTATAAATCACACATCTATAATTTAAAATAGCGATTTGACACCCTGCCTTAAGCTATAGCTTCCCAAATAGAATAAATAGTAATGTGTTATTTATTGAGAATGACATATGCAGCAACTCTTCATTTAAAAGGAATCGTGTGCTGTTGGCCAGTGGGCTACTTAATTAATGCATATGTGTGTTTTTAGTTTTTTAAAGGCAGATATTGTCTTTGGATTGATGACATAATATTTATTTATCTAGAGGGTATTGTTCCCCATCTATTCTGTTCTCAGGAGTTCTCCAAAATCACAGCTTGAATGAAAAGTTTTCTGCTCCCATCGGAAGCAATTAGTGGCCTCAGGCAAAGCATGCAGGGTAATTGTTTCTCCCAGTCCTGTAACAGATTTTCAGATATTGAAACGGCTGAAGAAAGGCTTCTGAAACAAACAGCATGCAGTTCTTTTTCGTTGTCCTCCTAACAGCATGGCAGACCAAACACATTTGAAACTGATGGGACTTTGAAATTAGTTACAGTGTTTGTTTAAGGGATTTGTTTGCTCACCTGTGCTCAGTGGAAGGGATGTTGTTAGGAGCTTAGTGGATAGCGTGGAAGTGTCTGCCAAACTGGTGTCACCATCCCCATCTGCTGAAGGAACCACACCTTCCTCATCCTCCTTATCCTCTTTGCCTGGCAGGTCTGGGAAGAGACATGCAATTTAACCTCTGAGCGATCTCAAGGCGATCAGGAATACAATTTAAAGAACTCCACATAGCATAGCTCCAAGTAGTCTGAGAAACAAAAAAAGATTAGCAATTCTGGAGCCTGTCAAAAATAAGTTTAACCCTCTCTGCTCACAGTGAGTCTGAAACACACTGCAGAAAATGGAGGGACTATATTTCTTAACCCAGTTCTGTCAAATGGATCTGTCTATCACCCACTTAGTTGTAGCCAGTCATCCATAGCACAGTAGTCTGGCCCTCTGTAGTCTAATTACATTGACATCCTGATGTGTGTGTGCATGCTTATCAGTGTGTGCACATCCTGGTCCATCACAAATCCAGACCCATTGTTCAATCATCTGTGTTAGTGCTACAAAGAGGGAAACAAGACAAGACCAAGAGACAGAGAAATGACTACATGACTGAGCCACATCATTCCCCTTTCCCTTTGGCAACCTCACAAAAAGACACAGTTTTCACAGTAAGCCCTCTGCACAAGATGTGTGTGTTTTGCCACACAGCGCAGCAATTATAAATGAATGATGGACCAGATGAGATTTGGGACGATATTCAGCGAGTGAATCTGTTGGGGAAAACTGATGAGCTGACTCCGTGATGAAGCTGGGGATACCAGGTCCTCTGTTAGTTTATAGCTTCAGAATTAATATTAATAAAAGATACCGAGGCATAAGGCTAGTGGGAGGAATAACGTGCTAGGAAAAAACTTTGTGACGGCTATGAGGCAATGCCAGCTACTATCATACAGTAAAATCTAGGTCACGTTCACAGCCCCTGAGTCAATTGTAAATTTTAGAAGTCTCCGAAGTAAAATCCGCTCATCACGTTATTGCACTGTTGACCTCCACACAGCAGGAGATCTGTCTCAGCCAAAGGAGAAGGAGAGTGATGAGTAACAGAAACAAATACTGCACAGGTATACACCTGCACATAAAAAGAGTGTCTCTTAGAGCAAGTCTTGATTCAAGTCTCAAGTCCTTTAAGGCGAGTCAAAGTCTAGTAACAAGATTTCATAAGCAAATTGCAAGACATCTCAAGTCTTCCTTTTTGTGACATAAAGGTACCCTGTGGAGTTTCTGATGATCAATGGCTATTCCACTATAAAACTTTTCCATTTCAGTTTTGAGCTTTGTATATAAAAGTTTAACAATCGTCTGGTACTCAAAAGTCTTAGGAAATAGATTTCTTAGTTTGTGCATCTCAAACTCTCAGGTTTTTTGAAGAAAGGTTATTTGAACAAAAACTTGTTTATTGGGTAAATAAAGGTTTAAAGGTACCATTTGGAGTTTTTGACCTCTAGGAGCATTGTGTTTTTACCAAGCGGGAAGCTTCCGGTCTACAATATGAAGCCGATGCGGAAGTCCCTGAAACCTGCATTCTATTGAAAATCCAGCAGGGGGCGACTCTTCTGGTTGCAAAAAGAAGTCCAGCTCCATTAAAAATAATGGGACAATTACCCTACTTCTCAGCTGAATAATTACCCCAGTAAACACTTTCCTGATGAGTTTATGGTCTCAGTTGCTAGTTTCAAGTCTTCTTCAACACAAAATGATGTTCATTTAGTAAATTATGGTCCATTTACTTTAAAATAGACCACAAAGCAGAGTATGTTTCAGGGCGGGATTATCTATGATTGACAAGTCGTTACCATGGCGATCTGTCAATCAGACTAGTGCCGACTGTACCCTCGGCACTGTGTAAATTTAACCAGCACCATTAAAAAAGCTTAATAGTTCACTTTCTCTGGTGAGTACATTTAGTTTTAAGACTATTGTTCACTAGACAAAGTTATCAGCTCTGTTAAAATGACAGTTAACTGAGTTACAGTTGCACCTAGCTAAGCAAGCTAGCTAGCTCCGCACACGGCCGTTAGCTGCACCGTATCGTCACTTCCGGGCACTTCCTGCATAAACTCGACATGGCGGCGCCCTATCGGCCAAACTCAAGGCTTCAAAACGGCAGTCCACAAACCAACGGGTGACGTCACGATGACTATGTCCATTTCTTATATACAGTCTATGGTTTTTACGAGTGAGTCCCAGTGTTGTCTGCACACAAGAACACGAACGTGCAGGCATCACAATACGCAGTCCACAGTTTCACACTTTTCTGATGTTTTATGAGGAAGACAATAATTTGACATGTTTTTCAGACATCAAGGATACACACAAATTAATCAATAAGTATTTTGCCTTGAAATTTTAAATATTAAAATTGAGTATGTAATTTCTCAAGTTACTAAGTAAGTAATTCTTCCTAGCAAAGGATGGCATTTATTTTAAACTCAACTTTTCTCAAATTTCCAAGTTCAAAAAAGGAAAAGTAAGTTTTATTTTTCTTGAAAATATTCTGACAGTTCCTGACTTGAAAGGGGTACTAAAATCAGTTTCCTTGATTTTTTGCTGTTGTCACAGTATGTTTTTGCAGTTAAGATATTGTCTGTTGTCCAGTGAATTGGGAGGAGACACTGTACACCACGGCCAGATCCCTGCAGCATCTGCAGTACAGACACTCTGATGTGCCTGTGATTAAATTTCACCATCTAACAAGATCTGCTACAAATGAGATATAAGGACAGTAAACATGTGCTCTCCTTCACTCACTCGTACAGTACAAACAGTGGAGCTCATCTCTTTAGCACATCACAAGCAAAATTACTGATGACCAGCTGTTTATGGATACTCTGCTGACAGAGCAAAATAAAAGCAAAAGGGGATTAGAGAGAGGTAGGCATGAGTGGATCTCAGTCTTAGTATATTGAACAGTTCAAAAATACACATGTGCTGAATTATCATTTTACTGTCCACCTAATTAGTGCGTACATAATTTATCTTGGCCTTCATAACCTTAAAGTGTTTTAACCTTAATGTAATTTTCTGTGTGCCGCCTTCACCTCAGGCTGTGAATGGATGGTTTCTACATGTGCGTGCGGAAGGAAAATGTAGGTTTCGTCCAGAGATATAGCCTAAATTGAATTTAAAGTAGCACCCACAGTGAGCAAAATCTTTGAGGCAATGCTGATCCATTTTGGTGCGGCAGTTATTCAACGTTTCAGATGCTCCTCATTATCTCCAGCTTCCAGAAATAATAAACAAAAAATGATGTTGCACTCCATTACACTCTGCTTTATCTACATAAGCCCGCAGAGAGTTTGTAAAAGAATACAAGAATACACTCTGAGCTCAGAGTGATAAGAAAGAAAAGGAGCGGTTTGGATAGCAGTGCAGGAGAGAGTTGGATGCTCCTAATCAGATGCATAAAAATGGGATATTATGACTGAGATACCTCTTCTTCAATTGTTTCTGGCTGTACTTGCACAAAATTGCATCATGTTGCCTATTTGGCTCATTTTTAAGATAGTTACCAAGGGATCCGTTGCATTTTCTAACGCCTTTACTCTCCCAACCAAGTCTTGCTTTAAGATCAGTCTGATTAAAGGTGACAAATAATCCAGATTGCTCTTTAATTGCATATTTACATTAGTCAGAGTAAATCGGCCTGCGAGCTTTGGGTCAAATCCTAAAAACAAACAGGCCTAATCCATCCAGTTTTTTTAAAACTCCTGTCTGGTTAAAGAAGTCATTATGAGAAGATTACCATAATATAAAAGTCCAGACAGTGTTCTCTATTTGCATTAAAGATCACTTTCCATGTAAATTCTATACAAGGGCATCAGAAAACCATGTCACATGCTCTGCGAGTAAAACTATTTCCATAATCAGTTAATCTGTCAATGGCCGTGCTTTAGCTGTTTGTTATGGCGCTCGGATCACAGAGACAATATATTCTTGCAGGTACTAATGGAGTGTGTTAAAGGTCTAGTCTCGGCACTGTCTGTTAGTACAGCATACCGTAATGGAAAAGGTGGGAGGAGGGGAAAGAAGGAGCAGGAGGAAGGAAAGGTTTTTTGAAGATAATGTACAGCAGTGGCTATCTGAGATGCTTTAGAAAACCTACTTCACCCCCCACATCCCATCAGCCTCAACCCCCAGTTCTTTTCCCGCTCTCTCCTCTCATAATTGCCCATGCTGTTGGATGTCGGAGTGTCCCTTAGTAGAGGATTACACACACAGAAGCAGAGCATTGCTGTTTTTTAAATACCTGACAGCCTCCTCAAGGGCAACGCCACCTAGCAAATGCTCTCTCGAGCAATGAAAAACCCACCCGTTTGTGATGAAGATGTTCCACACCTTCATAAAGAAATGATTCACCTCGTGCCGCTTAAATAGATCACAGCACACAGATAGAATGTTCACATTGGGATAATGTATGATAATGCAGGGGTGCCGTGCTTTCATTTTCATATTAGTCTCCTCCTGTGTCCTTTGGCAAGGTGTAATCATTTGAACACTGCAAGACTCCTGTGCAATACTGCACCAAGCTGACTACTAGGGTGTATAAAAGCAAGCACTGGTTGTCGTTTCTCCATGAGTGATCAGAATCTTCTCTCGTCCCTGTCAAAACATTTTCACCCTTCAAAGCAGCAATGGCTGACATGTCTGGCCATGGAACAAACAGACAGGGATTTGTGTTTGTAAAGAGGCAAAAAAAGATTGCAAAAGGAGGAGTAGAGCTGGAAGGGAGGGAGCGGAGAGGAAGGGACAGAGGAGCATGTTCAGCATCCATGAACAGCGACTGGCGGGCTTATGGTCCCACAGGAGAGATGGTGGTTTTGCTGAGTGTGCGCTTGGAATACTGATACGCAGCCACAGCAGCCCGCCTCAACCTGGCCAAGCTCCCTATCTTTCCTGCATGCCGCCATACAATGCATAATCAAAAACCAGTGCAGACACAACACTGGGCGCTGTAGACTAAACACAACGCCGGTTTCAAAGCAAACAGCTTAAAGCAGTGTCAGATACACAAGATCTGATATAGTTGCATGCCAACACTGCAAAAAAAAAAACCTGACTCTCAACCTTTATTTTCCACTGGGGAACTGTTAATGTACCTTTTGTCATTGTGCATATAGATTGCTATCTGTAAATATCCAATAGCGTAGTCTCAAAGTTCCTTTTTGACCTTGGAAACAGCAGCTGACAAAACAATCTCATTTCAAGGTCTATTTAGAAACCGTTCTCCAGCTTTTGATTGTGTCACACATGAAAGAGCCTTAAAGTGCTCAAAACAGAAATCAAAACATCCACAACTCTGTGACAACTCGGCACACTCTGTATGTAAAGGAAGAGCATGCCATATGACTGAAAGCTGCAGAACAGCTACTAAATTGACCTTAACATGAGATTTTGTCAAGTAATTTTGTCATAAGCTAAACTTTGTTTAAAAAAACAGAAAGTCAATGTGATTTAAGCACAGTTTGCATGTTCAAGAAACAGAGGGTAAGAACTAACATTAAGAAGTTTATGAAACAGGTGTAGTCAGGAGTTGAAAACTTACTTTTAAATTTTTACCAAATTTTTAAATCTGTGAGCAAAAACTGCATTTTGGCACTACTGCAGTAAAGATATTGTAATTGTTGTTTGTTGTTTTGCTTTGATTTTAAGGGTGAGGAGAATATGACATAACATAATCTTTGCTAGGAATAATTTCTTCATGATTATGCCTCATGGTTTTTGTAATTATCTACAGCTATGACAACAAGTAATTCATTCATTTTATGTACCAATATTAATGGACTTTTGGTGGAATTACAGCATTTAAACATTCAAGCTAATATCATTATGTGCACACACGTTGAGTGACACATCTGTGTGTATACATCCTCCAAACAGCCCTGGTTTTATCAGATGGACATGGAACCTCCATGACTGAGAATAATCGGCTCATCATTTTCTGGCCCAACCTTTGACCCTACATGATGAATGCGTCTGTACCTGGAGGTGGATGTTCCCCTGAAGACTCATTAAGTATACAGACACCAGACTGCAACCAGTGTTGGGGGATGGGCCTTGAAGATGGAGGTTTTGCCTCAATGTCATGTGAAAGTCTACTGAATCCTACTGGCTACCAGTAGCCGTTTAAGTTCACCATCTTTGCCTTTTCATGCTCTGTAGAGAAAACCCCCATCAAGTGGCATTCAACCAAACACTCTTTCCTTCCATTCACTGAGGTAATCACTTGTGCAATGTTGGGGGGGGGGGGGGGGGGGGGGATTTCTGCTTGAAAACTCATTATAGACTGTTAATGGGCTGTTTTTAAATTGGGTGGTACGAATTACACATTGGAAGAAATTGTGAAAGGCAAAACTATCTTTGGGTAAGGCTGGGGACAGTCAACAACAAAACATCACTCAAAAAAGCTTTTTAACTTTCCAAAGCAGATTTCACAACAGATTTTGATGCTTTATTATCCCTTCCATATTCTCTGTGTCATGGAACTATTTTATTGAATAGTTCAAAGTCTGTGGGAAGCAATCATTGCAAACAATTAAGATGTTTCATTCTTTTGTAGATGGTTTTGATTGCAGTATGGTGGAACTACTCCAACTTCTGAAAGCTGTTATGTTACTGAAATGTATTTGTCCATCCATTTAAACCACCACAGTGTAATGCCACATTATATTAAAAAAAAATCTTAACTATACTATACTATACATACTCTCCCCTAGCATGGTGTACAGAGATTTCAACACATAACCCGTCATTGCAATCATGTAAATGTTGATTCCAGACATGTACTTATTGATTGTTGACAGGGTTTCAACAAGATCTGGATTTATGCTAATGTCGGACCTTCGACTACTTACCAAGTCAGAAATGTCATCGATCAAGCCGAACTGTCTGCAGCCTTTTGACAGCCATTTATTGAACACTTAAGACCTGCCTGCATATGATTGATCACTATTGATTTGTTTAACTTTGCTTACCTCCTGCTATTGAGAAGTGAACGCTTTGGCTCTGAGTTGTGCTTATTATGGATTCTGGCACAGGTTTGTGATCGATCACCATGGCTGTGGTGATTACCACCGGCTGTCCCTCCATGGGCCCCGACCTGGCCTGGGAGAAGCCCAGGTCAGCCTCGCTCTGAGTGGGGTGGGTTTCTGTCATTGTGGCCTCTCCAGCATGGAGAGTAATACTGACAGTCGGGTCGTGTGGTTGTCTGACAAATGTGGTTTCTGAGGGAGTAGGGGTAGTAACAGGCCCCAGAGTGTGTGTGCTGGCTTGTGTGGTGTCCACCAGTCCTGGATTTGTTGTTGTGGTTTGGGCTGCTGCCCGTGTCAAGGCAGTAGGAACTGTAGTTTCTGGTGCTATCGTTGACCAGATCTTTACTGTTAAATTTTCAGCCTCCTCTTTATCAGTGTGTGATGGGGGGTGTTGTGAAGTGGCAGCCTTGCTGGGTCCGGCTGCTCGTGCAGTTCCCTGTGGTGGGTGAGTATGTGTTGCATTTTGTTCAGGAGCGCTTGTGCTGGCGGGACTGTTGGTGAACAGAGTGTTTCTGACATAACTGCTTGTGGGAGAGTAGGAGTCTAAAACAAGAGTATCATTGTAGCTCTGCGCTATGCTGCTGTGTGGAGAATCTGATGTCCCTGTGTGAAGTGGTTCTGTTCTTGTCTTTGTCACGCTAGCTAGGAGCCCCCGAGTCCCAGTCGTTGGTGGTTCAGAGGTTTCAAAAATGCTCCCTTCACCTGACACCAAGTGGTCTTGCAAGTGATCAACTGGTTCTGTCAGACTTTTGGCGTTTGTGGTCAACACAACAGCCTTCTCTTTACTGTCCGAGCTTCCATAAAAGGGAATTGGGATTTGGAATGGTAGTGAGGGAAAGGAAGGGAGCTTTGGCAGAGACGGGGTCCACCAGTTAGAGCGTTGTCTATTTTCAGGTGCGTTTTCTCTTGATGGCGTCTGCCCCCAGAGAGCCTCTTCGTCAGCCACAGCCTGCCTGTGAAGTAGCAAAAAACAGCCGAAGCAGAAAGCCAAGGTCTGGAGGAGGCGAAGCATGCTGTCGACAGTGGCGCACGGATCGCTCACATGTTGTTCTCCATCCTCCTGCTCCCTCAGGTGGGTCTGACTAACTTTCCGGCAAAATGGCCTAAAAGACAAGAACAGACAGGACAAAGTGACACACTTTCATCCACTCTTGAGCAGCTAAATCGGAGTTGTCGAAAACTTGACACAATTTGCATCTGCTGCTTTTTCTTTTCATTGAACATTTTTGGAAGGCCGAGCTTCTGTTTCTCAGAGTGTGACCTGCTTTTCAGCTGTTTTTCCAGGCCGTAAAGTAAATCAAGTAGAGAATCTATGCCACCCACTAGCGACTGCTGAAGTTAGCAGGCTAAAAAAATATGTCGCCCACCACAAATCACAACAAAGACTTAAGTATTATGGACACCCCACAATTAGTGTCCTGTTAGATGTGGTGGTCAGTATTTATGCTTTTGCTCACATGCATGCTGTCTCGCAGTGGTTGGGCCACTACATGGACTGACCAATTAGAGAACTTTAACTTAAAGAACTACTATCCATATGTACTCTATTCAGTGAGAAGTGGTCAAGAAATAATGTATGTGTGAGTAGGGTTGGGGGAGGTTTGTTAAGAATTAGGATCCGGGTTGCCAACATAAGAATAGAGGGACCTCTTTTGTGGAGCGCCGAGTGGTTCAAAGTCACTAGCCTGTTGCCTCAGTGAAAAGACTGGAGCACCAAAGGAATTTCCCCTGTGAGAACAACAACCTGTATGCTTTAGCTGTACTTAACTCCCCACTAAACCCCACACCCACCCCAGTTTTGGCCTTGCTCTCTTTCAATCTCAGATATGTTTGTTCTTTAAAACAGATGGAGAAAGATCTGTTTGTGTGGGAGTAGTGTTCACAGAAATCAGCAATCACAGATAAATTCTCTCTCCAGCGTTTCTATCACGCTCTTATTCTCTATATGAGTGTTATTTCATGCTTTTTCTTCATTGTCAGCCTTTGTTCTTCTCTCTGACAAGTTTATTTACCGCTCACTTTATTCCCCTAATCCAGGCCAGCTCTCTCTACTCTATCAAGTTCTTGCTGTTTTCTTCGGTGCGCATACGATCAATCAGCCACTACCATAAGAGTCCAAGGCGCATTCTCACTGATCAGGAGAGGAGGGACATGACCTGCAGTCTTCCCCTCTGTTCCAGCCTGGAGGGAACCTGGAGGGATGAAACCAACCTGGATACACAGTCAGATATTGAGATATGATGACTGACTACCGGGGGGGGTTGTCAAACATAGAGCTTCCCACACCCTCCCTACTTTTAGCATTCTGACGGAACATCATGAAAATCAGTTTCCGATGATGTGTAGTTGTTTTTAGATGCCTGTGTGCTCAAGCTTGCTCCAGCCAACCCACTCACACGGTCACATTTCATGTATGCAGAGATATGATGAAATGATTTTGGATCTGACTGTGCATGTTAGTGCAATTGTGTACTTGCCCACATGTACTGTTCTGTAGTAGCTACACACACACCCACGCGTGCACACAGGCCTGGGCTTCTTCAAGACATTTTGCCAGCAATTTCTGAAGTCTTACAGAAAGGCCAATGAACTATTAAACGCTGCCTTTAAAGAGAAAGGGAAATATGTTTTGTTGAGAAGCCAAGTTTATTTGATTCTACATAGAAACATTTTAATAAGTTGTGAAGCTTAGAGCAAATTGATTGCCTCTTTGTCAATTTCATGCATAACTGATCAATTATTTAGATTGTGGGAAATATGTTTAATTCAGTTTGGCTGGCATTGTCACATTTCATGTCAATATCACTTTCACTTAGTGTGTGGTAAAAGGAAACTCATGTAGAGCGCAAAATGCTTCCTTCACTTCACAGCATGTTTTTAAGTTTCTGACTATTTTGAAAGGATCGGTTTTGGACAGAACTGAGTGTTCTTTCCAATCACTCAGGCAAGTAGAAAACGTTCCATTTTTTGTCTGATTTGACTCAAGTGACATAGCAGATGGTATTTTGTTAATGGTTGACTCATCTTGTCATGGCACACATGCAAACAGTTTCCTCAAAGATAGATGTTTTTTATTTTAGGTCCTGCAGAAAAGTAGCATAAATAACATAACAATTATCTAACGTTTAAAGCCCCAATAAAGCATGATTTTGTTTTTCAGTCATGGAAATGTACATGTACTCTCTTCAAGGTCAGGATTTTCTAAGATAAGCTCTATTCCTAGATCTCACTGTATCTCCCAATACGTTATACATGTAATGATATGGTGAACTTGTCAGCAGAGATTAGCATTTTTACACCCTCAGCAGATACTTAGCATTACTAGCATTCATTTGGCGTCCAATATTCACTTTTCTTTTATCGTTGTTTTGCTCTCCAGCAATTCCTGAAGAAAATATCTGGCTCTTTTGTAATTTCTCCAACTGTGTTCACCAGCTAGTTGCTAACTTTGTCTGTCTGGTGTTATTGCTGGGCAGGTAGCTTTTATTTTCTGTAGACAGAAAAGAGAGCGGTGGGAGTGAACAAAAACATTAAAGTTGCGGGCCAAAAAACCCCCAATGTGCTGAAAGACACTAAAACGCTCCACAGAGCTGAGTGGAGATGCAAAGTTGGTAGATAATTCTCTGTGGATTTGTTGTTAGTCATGTGATCCATTCATAAAGTAAAAACATTGGTGATAGCAGCATTAATATGTAAACAAAACATTTTTTGTTGGTAATGTAGAACTAGTTTTTAGCTGTCATAAACTATCAATGCCAGCTAACAATCAAGCTAACAAATTAATAATGTACTGTGCTAGCTAACAACAGCTTGTGCTTTACTATCATTCCAGATTGGGCCTTTAACTTTTTTTGTCAGCACACGTCACCACATCAAATATATGCCAGTGAAGGCATTGTCTGGTTTGACAGGCAGCAGAGCAAGTGGAAAGGAACTATAAAAAGTGTCTGTGGGGAATTTACAAGCCCCCTCTATTATTTTGCTGGCGTTTTGTCTCGCTGCTCCTGACAAAGATGGGGCCTGCCACTGTAGTGTGGTCAATAGAGCAGGGAAGGACACAGCAAAAGAGAGGCAGAAAAGAAGGGCAGACAGCAAAAGACAAGGGCAATAGAAGAGAGCGACAGAGAGAGAGACAAAGACACCATATTGACATACAGTTGTGCCATTCTTAGTCCAGGAGAGTAAACCCTGCGGCAGTCTTCGTAATGCTCATTTTAGTTTGTTGCCAGAGCCTCTTTTATTAACTCTGTAAACAGACTACTGTCTTTCAATTAGGTATGTGTGTGTGTGTGTGTGTGTGTGTGTGTGTGTTCATAAGAAGCCCCCACTCTCTCACTTCTCTCAGGACCATCAACCATCTTGATCTCAATCAGCCTCCAACCTGCTGTACCATATTTCTTCATGTAAATTTCTCAATTTTAAATTTATCTGACGGTGGTGTTATGGCTTTACAAGACCCTCTGTGAGAACTCTGCTCATAATAAGGCCGCCATAGTAAAGCTAACAAGAGAGAAAAAGATGAAGAGGGGAGTACAGTCTCTCAGAATGAAAGTTAAAAAAAAGAAAGCGGTGTGTCACTCCTGAGTGACTGAAATGGATAGGCTCTACACTGAGGGGAGTCACAAATGGAGACGAATTTACTGCGGCCGATGTCATTACTATTTAACAAACCTGGCGAGGCCTGAGGATCAATGATACAGTCTAGGATAATGGAATAATTTACCTCCCTGCAAATGGATACTGTTGTGGGGGTTTTGTGAATCTACTGCGTGGGTGCTGTGTATATTTAGCACTAGTTTTCACTCTTATTTCCATGGTTATATGTAGTTGCACATGAATTTGAGCGTAGATTTACACGTGCATCCTCCCACGTGTTGTTGGGTCCTGTATTTTCGATTTCAGCTCTTTATCACAGGCTCTATCTCCAATCTAAGGAGTCAACTTATAGCTTTTTCCTGTTGTCCTCTTCTGACTTTGACGCTACGCAGGGATGTCAATATTGCACAGATTCAATCTGACTGGCCGCTCTAAGCCAGCAGGGATTTATCCTGCATAAAGCAGCACATTTGAAGGGCTTTAGAAAGTGTTAGAGAGCTTAACCTGGCGAACAAGTGGCTGTCTATCCATCTTTCAATCATTGTGGTTGTCATTATAGTCATGGCAAATTCTTGTGACAGGGAAAGACTGTGGATGTAACTGTAGGTGTTTTATGTCCTCATTTCACCAACAAACAATAAAAGTTTATTAAAAAATACAATTTGTTTTCTTCCAGGATACATTTTTTACTTTTGGTTAATTTCATCATTATAAACAACACTACAATATTTATGTCAATAAAGATTGATGTGATATTGAATGCCAATATTGTAATTTAAAATGAATCAGTCAGGTATTGGTATTCTAGAGTATCATGTGTCATAGTCTTCGGGAAGTTATTGCTTCTAGCCATGTAGGAGTCCAGTTCATAACCTCCCTGTAAAACCACAACAGGTCATTTTTACACATTGGTTTTGAGAAGATTAAACAAACACCATATAACGTGTTAATTGGTGAGCCGGTAGGCAGACTTGCTGGTAGGTGGATTTTGTTATTTTTGAAAAGATCCAGACTTGCTGTTTTAAGTTAAGCAAAGCTAATCGGCTGTAGGCTGTAGCCTTATGTTTACCAGAAGGATATGAGAGTGGTTTCGATCTTCTCATCGAACTCTAAGACACAACCTGTCCCAAAATGACAAACTCCTAAGTAGAAAATCGCAAGTCCACTGAAGTGCATGCCAGTTTTAAAAAAAGACACTTTATTATTTACCTACTGTTTGTGTTTTGTCAATCCCTGCTTAAGTTGAACTGTATCATTCCTCGTTTGACAACATATTCAAGTTGATGATTGAGTCTTATCACTAACTTCTGAGTTGTGAGGGACAGATCCACAGACAGAAAGGGTGCAATCAGCTACAGTCAATAGCCCCTGGACATTATTGACCATAATGAGAGCTACTCTCGTGTCCGAGAATAGCAAAACCTCTGGTCATGAGTCCAAATGAGCAGCATCACAGGCCGGACTTCAACACATAAATCCTGCAGGGTTTACAACCACAACAATATCCTGAGTCTATTTACAAACCAGATTAATGCCTTGCTATTCTAATCTTAGGGGTTTCCTGATTCTTTGAAATGCCATTTTACAAATCTAACTTCCAGGTGCAGAATTCCTTTCAGAACATCAATACCGTACTGTCATTTCTCCCTTTTTCTCAGATTAGTTTGATTCTCCAAACCTCTTCCATGCCTCTTATACTCCACCTCCACCACTCATAAAACATATTCCCCATGCTTGAGAATGACATTAATTGTGCCGAGCTGATGCTTGTGTTAGCCCTAGAGCTGATGAATGCAGTGAACCTGCCGACTATACAGAGCGCTCTCAAACACAGGCGTTCCACCGGCTGCCTTTACCATGGAGACAGCTGAAGCCAAAGACGTCTCGCTAATCCCCAGGATTTGAACACCTTTTGGACTCCACTGTTCCACTAGGAGTGTGCTGCACTCACATGCAAATGGGCAGTCACACACACAGACGCACACACACAGAAATTTGTGTGTTTTGCTAACAACATAACACACACGCTTGCATATATTCTAACATCCTTGTGCTACAATGGAATGTGTACACAAGGATATGATTGCATAATTAGATATTCATGATAATTACAGATGTTAACATCTTTATGTGTCAGGTTTACCCAGATGACACACTAACAGACACACTCTCTCAAATACATATACCACCACACACATTTCCTATTTTCCTATAGATTTACCACGAATAAATGATTCCCTCTGATCTCCTTAATCCTAAACCACAAGCCCTCTTACATGTGTTAAAGGAAATACAGTATGTTTGTGTGTGAGAGTGTGTTTACCTAAAGCTGCAGCTCGAGTGTGTGTCTCAGCGTGTAACAGCATGCATGTTGGAGTCATACCCACACATCCCTATTCCTAGATGCAAAGCTGCTGATTAACATACACATGCAGAGAGAGAGAGAGAGAGAGAGAGAGAGAGAGGTTTACAGCTATGTGTGCAGGAAGATGAAAACATGTCAGCTGCTTACCTACAGATGTATGGAACAAGATGTAGAATCCACAGCCAGCTGTGTGTGTGCGTGTGTGTGCATGTGTGTGCTGCAGGAGAGACCGTTGTTCTGAGCCCGTATAGGTTCGCCTGTGTGGAATTGAGTTCCAGTCTGTCTCCCTCCCTCCCACTCTCTCTCTCTCTCTCTCGCTCTCTTGCTCGCTCGCTCACTGCATCAGTAGTCCACTGTGTGGCTCCCATCACAATGCTTGTGGTCACACCTCACTGAGCCAATTGTTCATTAGCGGAGATCACCCGGTGCCGCCGACACTAGGAAACAGAGTTAGGCATCATATTACAATCGCTTATGCAAACACACATGCTGAATATTACATGCAAAGCCTTTACAAACATGCATGTGCACATATACCCAAGCTGTGAGTGGATAACATTTGAATACAGCTGTTTTCAAGCACTATATTTAGACCTAACATAACTAGTATGCTGATGTTGACTTTTTGGCTCTGCCAGTAAATCACCCACAGCTCCACAGAAAAATACCGTATCTTGGTTAATTCCAATTTACAAGTTGGCCCACATTTTTGTAGTTTAGGCCATGCTTCCTATTGGTCATTATTGGACTCATCAAAGTAAGCTGAGATCTGGGACAAGTCAGAATCACTTTTATTGGCCAGGTATGTGTACACACATGGTTAAAAGAAACCAATGTTGGCTGTTCGTAGGATCCAGGAAGCAAATAGCAGTACCCTGCGTCAAAGTTAGGCATTTTGTTGACTCATCGAACCACCCCAGCAGTCTCAATCTGTGGACTTCGTGGCTAACAATGTTGCCTAGCTTCCTACTTGGCTCTTGATCGACAAGACTCATGGTCACTAATGCCGCTAGAGGGCGTTTTAAAAATTCTATCGTTCTGCAATATCTGCGACAGGCAACTAGGGTTGAGTTGAGATTAAGGGAAAATCGTGGTTATGGCAAACAGACTTGGTCAAAGTTAAGGAAAGATCATTGTTACTGTTACTATAAATGCAAAGGTTCATCGCAGATCTATTAGGGGAGGAGAACTCTGGTCTTGCATGAAAGTAGCACCCTTACTTTCCACCGCCTACATACTGGCTACACTATTTCCTGTGTTGGCACTGAATGTTGGAATTGGACATTAGTCGTGATGTACAGAATTATCCAATATAAACGTAATTCCTAGGGATACTGAGCTGCCAGTACTATATATAATAAGACCCAACTGCTACAAAGTAAGTAGGCTACTTCCATAAAGCATCTGTGTTATTAGTTTCCATCCAACCCTTCCCAAACAGAACAACTTGTATCATGTCCAACATTTTAGGTACGGTAGAAGAGACTCACCTTTGACACAGTTTATTTTGTCATTAGGTTTCATGACTTATCTCTGTTGACATCTAAGATGTGCTGTGCTGTTGTGCACCAACTTTGGCACAACATTTCCCAGATCTTTGGCTCCGTGATCCCCAGGAATTTCCCAAATATAGAAACAATCAGCGAACTCCCAGCCCAAGGAAACGTAATTTCCTGAATGGTGGCCTGCCTGTGATGAAGCCCCAGCTCGGCTCAGTCCCACCGGCGCAGGCAAGATCGCCTTAATAACATATATGACCTTGACTCTCCCTGCTATTCTTACCTTTACTTTTACCATTGTGAGATAAAAGACTAGTTTCCTTGCCACACAGGCTGCTTCTTCTACTTTGAATTCAGTGTATTTTACATTGAATAATTGGATTTGGATTAGATATATTGTCTGAAGATGTATATCCTTGGCACCTGAAATACATACATATTATTCTGACCTTCAAAATTAGTCAAGACAGCCATATGCTAATGCTGCAATGTCTAAGGGACTGACACAGAATGTATCTCCAAACTAAACTGAGTTGGAGAAGGAACAAACCCCATCTTTTAGGGTTTTGATACTTAAAGAGTCCACAGTTTTTGGTAAAAGAGTAGTGTAGATATTGTACAAGGTTTGTTCGAAGCCTGGTTCATGCCATAGAAGAAATCAAGATGTTGACACGTGGTTTCTTCCAGCGTGCAGGCTTTGCTTAACAGCAGTGAGGGATATGACAGGTGAAATGAACTACCATTCTGATCTCAGAACAGTCTTGAATGTTTCAGTCTTATGAAGTTATGAATTTGGGAAAGTGGGTAAGCTGATCTTTAGCTGTGCCCACGGACAGCTCTAACAGTAGACAAGTATTTGGGTTTGGCTCAGTTTTGATTCATCCATATCCTCATAATGTTCTTGTTTTTGTAACTACTTTAATTTCTCATTTTGCCTTTGCAGTAAAACATATATAGGATATAACTGAAAGCAAAACTTTTTAGTAAATGCTGTAGAACTTGATAGACTTTGACTAAAACATAATAAAATAATACAAAATATTTTAAATAATAATATACTTAAGATATTAGGATCTGTGCATTATGCATTGTTTCACAAGTACATCAGATATCTCCTCAACTGTAACATTTCCATGAAACCAATATAGATACAGCAAAATATATTTTACTATTTATTATGGCAATTAGAGCTGAAACGATTAGTCAATTAGGCAATTAGTTGATCCTTCAGAAACTCAATCTGTCAGTCATTTTTCTGCCAAAAATGTCAAATATTTCCTGGTCCCAGCCTCTCAGATGTGAGGATTTTCTACTCCATTCTATGTCATTTGATAAATTTTAAATTAATTGACAAAAGACAACAATCATTAGTTGCAGATTTAATGACAAAAGAGTATTTATATCCTCTGTCTCTGCTTTTTACCAGCTGTGGAGTTATTTAGCTTCTCCTCCAGCTAATTAAAGAAGCTCCTGTAACCCACTGTAATACTGAAAAAACTCTTCCTCTTCCAATTTAAGATAACCTCTGTGGACCGTGTCGTGCACTTTGACACATATTGCTGTTTATCAGTATGACTAATGGCAGTGGACTTCAGTGTGCTAAAGGGACTTTCTCAGGTCTGGCTGGCATCTTGAGGAACTGTGAAGCAGATCAGCGTCCCCAAGAGAATGCTAAGAATTCAGTGTGTGTGTGTGTGTGACTTCGTACTGATGTCCTCTCCTTGTACAGTCCGCTGGTTCCAGCATACGGAAAGTGCCAGACAATGGCAGATTGTGGAGGACAAAGAAAGAAAGTTCTTTGTCTGTAAAAAAAAACAATGGACTCTATCAATAGTTTATTGGCTCTGCCATCTATTCGGACCTGCCCAGGGCCCTTTTTTATAGTGACCGCAAGGTCAAGCCTCTAAATCTCCCAAAACTTCTAGCTTCAAAAACAATAAGTCTTCTTACAGCATGTTTTTTAAACTTCTGCTTGTTTTGTGTGTGTGTGTGTCCGCAAAGTGTCTTTCTGCCACCATATGTTAACATCTATAAATAATGATTCACATTTTATTTTTATCACTATTAGCTGTAATTCACTGAAGTAAAAAACGGACTGAGTCGTGTTATTAATCAAGGTCTTAATATATGGCAGCAGTCATAGCATAAATAGTCCTTTGAAAAAATCTATAAAGACAATCTGACCGGGGAGAAATCTAATACACACTTGGTAACTCACAATGTCCCCTGTGTGTTGGTGTGTATCTGTTATGTACTTTACGTGTGTGTGTGTGTGTGTGTGTGTGTGTGTGGTGTGTGTGGTGTGTGAGATGTGGTGCGTATTTATGAATGTATTCCCACACAGCTTTCCCTGCAGATTTGACATGGCTGATTAGGGCTGTTAGATGAGGATCGGAGATGACCTTGGAGGAGAAATCAAATGCATTTACCTGAGAGATACACAAAATGCCCTGGGATAAACGTACCATCATCACTTTGCTATCACCGTAGACTTCTCGCAATACTAAAGTATATGCATTTTATGAAGCATTTGTGACTTTGAGGGCTCAGTTTAAAGATGCATTTATTCTTATCGTGAAGCAGTTCCACACCCTGATGTGGACCGCCTCTTGCACAGAGAACAGAGAGGCACATTCTCCCTACTTTTGCTTCTGTGTCTCCCCTCCCTCCCAACTTTCTCTTTTTTCCCGGACAATAGGGGCCACGGTGAAACAATGCAAAAAAGGAAAGGCCCAGGGTTTGTGCGGCAGCAATAGGGGGTGGTCTGAGGTGCTGAGAGGGGAAAACGGGTGAGAGGGCCTTAGAGCTTTAAAGGAGGGTAAGAAGAAAGTGATGGGGCTTTCTTTTCTTGGGAGGGAGAGTTCTGATGAGGGGGATGTATAGAAATCAGCAGGAATGAGGGGGGTGTTTAAGAGATGACGTAACAGGGATAAGGGATGTAGGGTGGAGGGGCGGGCCGCTATAATGTTGAGAGTAACACAGACGATGGCCGAGGGGACCAGGGTTATGTTTTTGTGGGACTCAAAGATTTTTCTGCCTGACTGACCTGAAAGTGATCACGCTGAGCCAGGCAAAGAAAAACTCCGCTTTTCTATTGTACGCACACACACCAACACAACACACACACAAGATAGAACTGCTAGCCAATCCACTGAAATTAAAGCTGGAATACACATTTTATATTGGCAACTGATCAAAAGATTATGTGTAATGTGAAAAGGGTGACCTGACTCTGCAGTTCCCCTTAGCTCTAAGGAGTGTTACAGTTTTTTCAATTGCTAATCTGCATTGGTCAAACTGAAGTCACATTGTGAGAACTCTTCACACAGTCAGCCAAAGAGAAATGCATGTGGACCAAACTATAGATAATTTTTCATTGCTTTCTGTCACGAATCCCCTCCTGTTGGGAGTGTGTGTGTGATTGTAGTTTGAGTTCTTTTCCCTTGGGGCGTTTATGGTGTGCTTGGTGTGTTTGGTCTGTCTTCTGTGTTCTGCTTCCCCTCATGCTCTGGGGCTGCGTGGGCGTGGTTGCCTGAGCTCCAGTTGACGCACCTGAGACTCATTTAGTTAATCACACACCAGTGCCTCTGCCTACAATCAACTCTCCTTAAAAGACCAGCCCAACCTTCCAGCCCCCGCTGGATCGTTGTACCACAC